TACTGGCAACTATCAATATATCTAATAGCCTTTCTGAATGTGAATTATTTTGTCGATTTATAAACGATGAAATAATAACGAGACAAATAAGAGGTGAAATGAAGAACAAACAAATGCTAGTGTCTTCTCGTATGTAAACACAAGTAGACATGCGACTTTTGGGGAAATGAAAGCCTTCTTAGTGATTTTGCTTTTTATTGCAACCTGGAACTCCACATGAAGTAATAAAAGTTACAGTATGTTGAATTATTTAAGTATTTTTAATGTATTTGTTTTTTATTTTGTGTTTCAATTTTTTTTTGTTTTCAACATCAAAACATGTATGCAAAATGTAACTCATTCATTCTTTTATTAGTGTACAAAAAATAAAATCTATACAAACAGTACAAAGAAAGTTATAAGAATTTTAAAACAGTAGGTGTCCATGTTTTTGCACCCTCAAAAAAAAAAAAAAAAATGCAGTAACAGGAGGAACAATTCTAGAATTTAACATGATAAATGTTAATCATTTCAATTTGGTCATCATCAATGACTGCAAGCCTGCTGGAACATAGTCTTTGAGATCAAAATTTCCATTAGTGAACTTAAAAACAATACTCTCAGCTATGGCACCATCTCCAAAAATGATACATATCTATTTTACTGTTTGTGAAGCATTTTTATCAAATGATGATTTTCACTTTTAATGTAAAAAAAAAAAAAAAAGAAAAAAAAGAAAAGAAAAAATAAGAAAAAATGAAAAAAAATTTAATCACATGAACAATAGAGAAAGATGTAGTGAAATGACATCTTTCAACAGATGTACATGTCAAACATTTCAGTCACATGTTTAAACCCCACCTATTGAAAAAAAAAAACACTACAAACATTTGTTCATATATATATATATATATATATATATATAAAAAAACACACACATAGACTGTGTTTAGATTTTGTAAGTGAGACGAGTTTATAACTTTCTTGTGTGTGTGTGTATATATATATATATATATATATATATATATATAAAATATATATATATATATATATATGAAAATATATAGAAAATAGGAAAGAACTGGTTAGGCAAATAATCCAAAGTTCCTTAGTAACTTAGTTATTATTTTTAAAAAATAGTGCTCGATACAAAAGTAGAGCATAAATATAATTATTTATTTAAAAATATTATTCCAACTCGCGACATAAGAGGTCTCATGTTTCAAAACAAGAGCCGAAAACTTCAATATAATTATTTGAATTAAATTGAGTTAAAGTAAGCTCTGTTCCATCTTCAAGTGAAATTTTTTTTTGAATAACGTATTTCTGAAATTTATGTGTTTTCATAATTGAAATCAAAAGACTTCCCTATCTAAATATTTTTGGCATCTGAAGGAAATAAATAGGACACATAAAGTAAAATGGAAAATTATAAACAAGGCTAGAACATGTAAAACTTGGGATGACCCTTTGTGCCTCCATGAGAAACTGCACATTATTAAGTTTCTAAATAATAATCTATTAAACAATAGACATGAGTTAACAGTTTTTTGTCGACATCATCAAATTCATGGTTTGAATAATTAGCTAAAAACAAGCATACAATATAACTTTTATAATCCATAGCCCAAATAAATAGTTTAAATACCCTACAAAAAAGATAACCCTTTATGAAGTCGTCAGAAAACAAATGTTACAGCAGTTTTTTTTTTTTATATGCACAAATCCCTTTCATAAAGAAATAAAATAAAAAAATAAATAAATCTCCATAGACACATGAACCAGAGTAGGCTAAAACATCTTCCGTTTCAAATTTAGACACCCCCACCTTACCCTGACTTGACATCTATGAAAGTAACTCTATACTGATACTTATTATTAACACCCAACACATGCCTACCCAATTTTAACAATTCGCCCTAGCTGTTACCATGGAAATTTTGATTTCAATTATTAAAACACGTAAATTTCAGAAATACTTTATTCCAAAAAAAAATTTGCTTGAAGATGGAACAGAGCTTACTTTAACTCAATTTAATTCAAATAATTATATTGAAGTTTTCGGCTCTTGTTTTGAAACATGAGACCTCCTATGTCGCGAGTTGGAACCATATTTTTAAATAAATTATATATATATTAGAAGATGGGCACCACTGGCCAGAACCTGAATCATACTTCACATCTCAACAAGCATAGAGATGGATCTGGTCAAGATCCAAAATAAAGAAAGTTAAATAACACAATACTACTTCCAACATGAAACATCTGTTTACCTTCCATTCTATGTCATTAATAACACTTGCTATGAGTGCATTGCGTATTGGTTAACGATCAAAAGCAAACGCTTTTCAGACAATGCTGAAAATCTCAGTTGCAGTTGTAAAAAGAAATTACAAGAGATTGACACATTTACAAAAATACCCTGTCCGGTGGCAAAATCTGCTGGTGGCACTGTGTCACCTTCCCTGGTTGGTGGCTGACAAGGGCAATATATATATATAAAAATATAGGAGATAGACACTGCAAGAGTGAGAGTGAACAAAGAATTCAATACTGTCTATACCTACAAACTCTATGTCCAATATTGAAGAAACTTCCCATTGAAATATATACATTTATATATATATATATATATATATATATATATATATATATATATATATATATATATATATATAGATAGATAGATAGATAGATAGATAGATAGATATAGATAGATAGATAGATAGTGTGTGTTCATATTTGGTAGCAAATTATTTTTGCAACATGCTATTGAAGAGAGCCAGAATATTTCCTTTGTCAAGTTTTTTTTTCTTGCATGTCATTTTATCAATCATTCAAGATTTTAGATTTATTTGCCAATGTTATTTCTCCAAGTGCTTTCAGCTACTTTTTATATTAAAAAAAATCTATTGTAAATACCTTGGAAGAAAAAGACAATAGCATAAAATTAGCAATCTTGTAAAACTATTCAAATATCAGACAATATGACAGGGAAAAAAAAAAAAAAAGGAGAAAGCAAGCACCAATCCGGATTGAAGACATCTTTACTTCCTGGCCAAAGTGGCTAAAGGTACTTAGAGAAATAATATTGGGAAATACATCTATCATCTTGAATAATCAATAAAAACTTAGAAAACTAGAAGAATAATAAAAATAAAAAAAATAAAAATAATTCTCAAAAGAAATACATCTGGGTTCTTCTACAATATAATGTACATGTGCGAGTAGAGACAGAGAGAGACTAGAAAAACTATGAATAAAAAAAAAACATTTTCCATGGCAGAAATAATTATATGTACTTTATACATCAACTTTATTATAATATCAAAAGGCTTAGAGAAGATCTTTGAAGAGTTGAACTTGATCAAATATAATATAAACATGTAAAACTTTTGAGTCATTACTGAGATTTCATTTTTAAAAGTGAAAGTGATAATTTTTGCCTTTTGATTTTTTATACTATTATTTCTAGTAGCACACATTATTTATATATATATATATATATATATATATATATATATATGCAGGCACACATTAGATTAACCCCCCCCCCACTGACACCATTTAAATTAGCTCCTGTGGAGGACTCTTAAGTGAACCTTCATCACAATAGGTAGGAAGGAGTAGATGCGATAGGCAACAAAGTACAGAAGAATTCAGAATTGGTCACTGCATTTAAGTTTTATATTAATATTTAAGCTTACCTTTTATAAGTTCAATAATAATTCTTCTGTCGTCACTTAATTTAAAGAAATTTGATATATGTTCATTCTTACTTTCCATACAAACAATTATTTTTATTTCATGGGTGACTTTTGCTGGATTTCACAATTACTTTTGATTATTCCCAAATCTATTTAAGTTATAAATATCGTTATTGTACTAAAAAATTTGGTGCAAAAAAAAAAAAAAAAATCACCAATATCAATCACAGTAATGAAAACTTGGGAATCCAAAATTTCAGGATTGCAAGTCTGGATCCTGCCAGAATGTTTTTAATTTGCTCATGAAGTCAGCCTGCCTCCAAAATGCTATATGTTGGGCTACAGTCCCTAGGACTAAAGTTAAGAATACGGACAATTTTATTTTGAAACTATGTAATTTGAGAACGGTAATTTTTTCATTTGAACATGAGCTATTGAAAGTCAAAGAGTTGTATCTCTTTAAATGTTTTTATCAGTAGAAGATGGCAGAATCTGAAAACAATTGCTATAATGAAAACTTGGAAATCCAAAATTTCAAGATTGCTGGTCCAGATCCGGTCCAGATCCGGTCCAGAAAGTTTTTCATTTGCTTATGAAATCAGCTTGATTCCAAAATGGTATGATATGTTGGGCTTTTTAAAGTTGAAAAATTGACACAGTGACATATATATATATCTTCAATATATTCCAGAGTGAGGTTAGCTGCAAGTCAACAAAAACATTATGGATTTAGTCTGTCCACATCTGCTAAACCAAGAGTTTGTTGGCAGGGTGTAATGTACATGTTAATTAACTAATGGTAGTTAGAGAGAATTATGATTACAGTCTCAACAAAAGCTTGTAAAGCTGCACATCTAGTGTCCATGAAGTCCTTGGGCATCCACTCATTGATAGCAGCCTTGATGTTGGAGGGAAAGGTGCTCATAAATACCTATTTTGTAGTCTGGAAGAAGACCAGTTAAGTTAGCTTTATAGAACTTCTTCACATTCTTAGCTGTGTAACTGGGAGCACCATCCTTGATCTAAACAGAGCTTCCTTCTTGAATATTTGGCTTTGATTCATTCATTTATTCATTCATTTTCTACAACTTACAAACACACTGCAATTTATTTAAAGCCAGAGAATGTTTCAGATTGTAAGAATTGTTTTAGTGATACAAGTCTTACTAATTAAAGGAAGAAGAGAAGTGGATTTATATTTTTCCCAAGGGTATTTGCATGTAAGTGAATATAATGAATCCACCTGGAAGTGGAACTCAGCTCTCTGATTAACAACTATGAGCCATTATTCATTACACCACCTGAACATACATGCTTACAACACCTGGTATTCCCAAGTCGTCACCCATTAGGTACTGACCAGGCTCGATATTGCTAACTTCAGTAATCATATGGGAACTGGTGCTTCAACGTGATGTGATCATAAGCCAGTTGGCCTTGAGCTACAACATAACACACACACACACACACACACACACAAAAAAAACACTTTTTCGCCAGCCTTAAGAAGTACAAGGCATATTTTTCCCCATCAGAGATCAAGGTATTCAAAACCTGGGATGGGTACTTGGTTGTTATGATGATGTTGACTAATGAACATACAATTTATTTTAGTAGTTCAAATCAGCATCCAGTGTGAAGGTTTTATCATAAGAAAATCTTTTAACAGTGGAATCCTAATTCTTAAGATACCTGAGTATTTTCTTGTCCCTTACCAATATCCTGGATTCAGAAGTTATCTCGACATCCTGGGGGTATAACCAGTCTGGAGTTTATTTTAGCTTAGCAGCTATCCCATGCATAAATATTGTTAGATTTTTTGCAATTTTGCTATGATTAGACTTCTTGTTAACCCTACTGCTACCTAGTTTTCTCTGGATGCCACTTCCCATGCCTTCCAGGCATTATATATGTCAAAGGCACACCAACTATGTTTGGGATGGTTTTAGAGTTGATTTATAAATGGAGCAACACTGACAGTTTTTGCTATTTGTTCTTCTATAAAGCTATATTCCATGATATATATTTTTTAATCATTTCACTACAAACAAGCCAACTAGGATGCAAGGGTTACAGGGAGTGAAAGAAAGTGAGAAGATTTTAGCAAGGAGAAGTGGGGAGAAAGGACAATAAAAAAAAAAACAGTTTTCAGGAGGACAGAAGGTGGCAATTATTATTGCATTTAAATATTTGAATATTTTACATGTCAGGGAAGCAATAAATTGCAAATGAGCTCTTGAGGTGAGATGTGCAAGAAAAACTATTAGAATAGAATTTATGATTACATCTAGTAAAATGGTGAGACCTAGTTGCCAATCTAGAAGTATGCTTAATTTCATTTAGTTTAGGCACCACAGAGGAAAGTGTTACAGTTTTTTGTGTATATGTTATAACTAGTGAGCCAGTCAAAATGACTTAACTCCTTTTATAGTCCACCAATAGAAGGTTAACCAAGCAGAAGCCGCAGAACATTGTATCCGTCGTGTATAAAGGCGGCCATTTTTGTTTACCCTACCTGAATGACCAGTGCCAATTTGTCAGGCGAAGATGACAGAAGGAAGTACTACACTCTGCTACTTTGCTGCGATATCCACTGCTAACCTGAACTACACTTTCCTACTGTCTCCGAAATATTCACTGCTAACCTCTGGATTCTATACTCGAAGACGACCGTCAAAATGTCTAACAGAAAGCTTATCAGAAGAATTGCCATCAAAATATTTGTAGAAAAGACAGTGAGAAGCTACATCTCATTGGTGGGAAAGTGAGTGAAGTTGAGATGTGTCGTATGTCCAGAAGTCGCTTTCTGTCTGCAATCCGTCTAGTCTCGCCAAAGCCTAGAAAAGCAGTGGGCTCCCATGTCCACTCGCCGGGTTTTTAATCGGTAGCGTGGTTCTCTTATGCAAATAAGTCTGCTGCATAAAATGGCAGTAGGGCGCACGCGCCACCGACTCTCAGAGAATGGTTCGACACGCCGAGGCAACGAATTCGCTTTGCTCCTGGTAAGTCACTGTCACCCTATTACACTCCCCGATCGTATGATCACATAAGTGACAGTGAGGGGCTGGTCGTTTCACCCTTTGCACTTCTTCAAGGTGGTATAACCATGACTTCCTCCCGGCTGAATCGTCAGATGTGTCCTGGTCTGAATCATATTCCGGGGATCATTAAGTTCAAGTCTACTTTCTCGCTTTCAGATGAGGTGTCGCTGCTTTGCACTGGAGCTTGGTTCTTGCCATTCATTACTCCCCTGACGTTGTGCCACCGCCATCATCCGTTGGTAACAATGAAGTGAGCCGTGGACGTACATCTCCCGCGGTCGCGGTATCCCGTCGGCGACTACAGACTGCGGACTGTTTATTCCCGTGACACGACCTTTTCACAAACTTTGACGTGCAGCGTCCGCGGCGGATTTTTACCCAAACTGCGTCTCCTTCTTTATACCGAGTCGGTCGCCCGTTAGGCGAGGGCACAATGTCAATTCCTTTTATTCGAATTCTGTACGAATGCAGCAGATTGGCGGGCGCAGAAGAGGCAGACACATCATCCCTGGGTGTAATGTTATACCAATACACGGCCTCCATAATAGAGCAGCTCTTTTAGCAAGCAGCAATCCGTTTGATTGTCCGATGACACCTCTCTACAATACCATTTCCAGATGGTTTGTACGCCAGCGCCGGTCGGAATCGACGCCCCATTCTTCCATGAATTGTTTAAATTGCTGACTGCGGAATGCAGTGTCATTATCAGCCAGGATTTCTACCGGGGCACCACGTTCGAAAAACACCGACTCCAATTGCCGGATTACGTGTGCAGCATCTTGCCAACTAGTGGTCGCCAGATCGAAAACCGTGTGGGGCCGCAATCGATCAGAGTCAAAAAAATGGCGACCGTTATAGTGTGTAATGTCCATTCCCAGACGACTCCAAGTTTCACGCACACTGAGCTCTCCCTTCTGCCATCGCACAGAAGCTGGATCTATTGACTGACACTGTTCACAACTTCGAACGACCGATCTTACTGCTGCTTTCGACACGGACAGGTTGATCCCACGCGCGAAAATATAGTGTCCGTTTAACTCCAGGGTGCCCGCTGTGTCGATGAATCTCAGTTAACTGAGCAAGGCTCTGGTTTCCTACAGCAGAAGCACATACTGGTTGAACAGGTTCAAATTCCTTCACATTGTTGAACCACTTCTGGGGAACTCTCGTCAACAAGTCAGCTCGGTTCTGGTCGGGATCTAACTAGCGCGGTGTCAACGGAAAGTTTATACTCTTTCACAAGAGACGTTAGAGTTTCAAGTCGTCGCCTTATGAGCATCTCGCTAGCGGCCTTGGTGTTCAGCCGAGACTTTCCTGTAAGGGCATTAGTCACCCAATGGTACACGCAGAGGGAGTCTGTGTTCACATGTAATACCGTAGCCTGCCATTTTAGCGCCGAGGTTGATTCCCCTTCAGCACGGCATCCAGTTCAGCCACATTGATATGCTGGGTGTTTTTTATCGGCCGTAGCCAGCATGCGTCCTCGATGATAGCTCCTTTAGCCTCGAGCGCCACTCCGACAGCCAGCCAACTCGCCGTCCACCCACATCGCCTAGCTCCTTCGTATTCACGCACCATTCTCCCTGTGCAGGATCCAGTTGCTGAGCCCGGGCAATGGTGTCCGCTATCATACGCTCCAGGGAGCATCACAAATTTTGTCGTCCCCAGTTCTGCATTCTACGGCAGTGGCTCGACGCTTGATGACGCCTGTCACCACTGCAGCCATCCACACACGGGGGGAAGTGTCCCACCAGCCGCCACACATGGAGAAAATACCTCCGCGTGTCATAGTCATAGGGCCGCCTACCATTCTGCTTCCTCATCGCCATCGCAGTCGACCCTGTTCCTTCCATACTTCTAGCCCCAGCACTCTAGCTCCGTCCTGTAACTTCTCTGGATCCTGCTCGTCAGTCCGTAGAGCTCGAGATGTTTCTCACAGATTCTGCCGACGCCACATCCTCGTTGATATATATATCATCAATATATGCAGACGTTGCTCTATTTATAGTTTCATTCTGTGCTAACACAGCATTAAGCACAGCTCGCATTATCAGGGGCGCCACATTCAGGCCGAACCCCAGCCTGGTCAAACAATATCGCTTCCCTTTAAACACAACTGTTTGATATGGCCACAGGGATTTTTCAACACGAATCTGTAGATATGCTTTCCTGAGGTCCAGAATGGACACGTTCGCATTATGCTGTCTCCAGTCTCGCAGTTTTTCTGCGCAAACATCCGCGCACCTGTGAATGTTTCAACGTAGGTATTTAGTTCCCATAGTCCATCACAGGATGCACCTTATGCTTGTTGGTCTGCAGCACGGCCATCAGTGGTATCAGTCCCTTGGGCGGGCCAAACTCCTTGTTACTGTACGGCACCAACCAACCATTGTCCATCCATGTTTGTAATTCATGCTCGTATTCCTCTCTCATCTCGGTGGATACTGGATATTCAGAGATCCGATTCTGAAGTTTCCTGGTGCATGACCTGCTGACCACTTCCAGGCTGCGCGACCCAAACTCCCTGCCGCTCATTGAATTTCGCACTGAAATTGGCTTCGCTGATACTTAATCGCTGCACAGACGGACCGTGGTTTTTCAAACCCACGCCCATGCTGCGTGATGCGAACTCCACCGAAAGTGCCTTAATGGCGTCGATGCCAAGCAACAGGTCGAAATCCAGGGGCTTCCCTCGCATAACCAGCACATCGATTGTAGCAGTATTACCAGTTGCTGTGCAAATTCTGACGGTGCCCTTCTACAGCAAGCCTGCGTGGGTCCGTTAAGGTAGATACCGCCATACCCTGCTTCGACCAAGACCGACATAAACTCGCCAAGATTGACCATGAGCACCCTGAGTCAAGGAGAGCCGAGCATGGTGTGCCGTCAACACACACAGTAATGATGGGTAGCACCGAGTTTACTTGTTGTTTGGGGAGGGACCGCACTGAAGTCTCGTCCCCCCTCCGCTTCCCCGGACAATTTTGGCCAGATGACCGGTCTTGTTGCATCGATAGCAACGTGCGTTAGTTGCCCTTCGCCTCTTCATGCAGTCCCTCGCGAAGTGATTGGGCCCATTACATTCATAGCATGTGACAAGGGGCCCATGTCTGGGGAAGAACGGGAATCTGGGAGGGCTGCACCGCAGCGACGACTGGTTCCCTCTCTGCTGTCTCGTCCTTTATGATTGCCCGAGCTCGGCCAATAGCTCCTCGAGAGACATATCATCCGCCCTGGCCGAGGACCGCAGGGAGCCTTTTCACAGGATCAGAAGCCCCAAATGACGAACACGCATGCCATCGCACTGTCTGGCACTCCTCCAAAAAGGACGGAGAGCTTCCGAGATCAGCCAAATATACATCTACGGTCTCACCCGGACGTAAT